TTCCCTATTATTCTATGGCGTGTAACTTGCATTATTTTTCTTGTTGATTAGGTACAGTGATAGACTGACCGCAAAAAAAAAAAAAAGTAGTATGAAATATATATATGGGTATATATACATAAACTGTGCCAGAGGTCTTTTTCAGCCCTTTAGTACCAAAATCTGGGTCTAAGTAACAGTCAGCAGGACTCCCTGTAATGTAGTTGGCTCCCTGATTTGCACGTTGAGACCTACCCGGCGGCGGGCACAGACGCTCAGGCGGCTCAGCAGGTGCCCGGCCCCGCAGAAGCAGCTGAACCCGAGCGGGTTCGGGCAGATCAGACTGGACGAGCTCAGGGGTCTCTGCATTTCCACAGCCAGCCATGCCGTTCGCCTTTCTTTGCTCCACAGCGCTGTCGCTGTGCGACCTTTCGGCCGAGCCCGTGCACCTTCTGTGTTTTCCGTATTTTTGCTTTCCACCTGGGATAAGTGGGAGTCGGGGAGGAGGCTGCTCTCTCTAGTAGGGTCTGAGATCCTGGGACTGGTTGTCTTTTGATCTGAAGTAGCTGAAAGCAGGGCACTTTTGGACGCGTTGCAAAAGCCTGTGATTTCAACGTTTTACTAGGAAATAAATGAGATAGGCTGGCTGGCTTGAAGAATGCCTGACAAGGATTTTAATTACCTTTCACCATTGCATTAAACTGTACCCACTGTGCCAGTTATATGGCGTTATTATTTTAAATGCAGACAAGTAGAGCTATATCAGGTGAGTAGTAATTTAATTGTTGAATGTTAATCTGCATGTTAAAAACAAAATACCACGTGGGACTTGCATTCTGCTGGTTTTGTACTGGCTGAAAGAGCCATTTGAGGCATATTTTAACAAGTATTGTGCATTCTGCCTCACCAGGACATGCTTAGATGGGAAATAGATTTAATTGGGATGGCTCCCAAGAAACCTATTAACCTAATGAGCCTTATTGGTGGGGGCTGCTACTTAGTAAGAATAATAGTTCCATTTGCCTGGAAGAGCTCAGGTGATGAACTAGCGCCTAGGTTTCTGTCTGCCTCCTGTTGATGCTCTCTCTTCCTTTCAACAGTATCTTCCAGTTGTCTCAGAAACTGCAATAGATTCAACGGTTAGGTAAAAATCTGTCGTCTTGTCTGTGGGAAGATGTGAGGCTTTGCAAAGGCACTGCCTGGTCCTCTCTCGTTCCCCACTGGCTTTAGAGCTGTTTGGGCTTCCTCTCCGCTCAGTTAAAACACAGATGGCACAGCTTAATCGAAAACAAGGGGTCAAAAAAGAGCATGTGGGGGGAGCATAAGGACAGAGCGAGCCTGTAAGAGGAGAGAGGTTATGCAAAGTGACATCCAGAAACATTTGAACTTTGCCTCTGTCACAACTTGAGCCGAGCCCAAGCTTCAGATCAAGTTCATGTTTAATTAAGAGCACGAAAGATTATCTGTGTGGGCCTCTAAGCACTTCTACAGATCCAGCTTGGAAAATGCAGACAAACAAACTCAAATGACCCTGCATGAATAATAAAACAGTCCCCATTCGGCAGAATTGACTAAGCCTGATCCTGCCGCAGACGTTCACCATCTTCTCACAAACTGCTGGGCTACGATAACCCTCCTGCAGATCAAGGTGATCTTCTAGGTTTGCTGGGTGCCCTTTAGCTCTTGTTTGCATCCATGCATACTTATGCTTTGAATCTTGGGAAAGCTCATGCGAAATACCTGCCTGCTGCAGAGACCAGCGCCAGCTTCAGCAGCCGCCAGGCTGAGCGGCATGGGGAAGGCACGTCCCTGTGAGCCGAGCCGGCGGGGCTGCCACCCAGCCCGGGGAATCAGAGCAAGCTAGCTCCTTCCAGTGCCCCTGGCCTCTCCTGCTGGCCCCTTTCTCCAAGCTTTGGGAAGCCAGAAGTCAGCTGGAGGATGGTGAATGTCCGATGTCCCAGCTGCGCCTTGCTGGGCAGTGATAGAAGAGGGTTTCATGTTTCTAAAATTAATTACTTGCTCCCTATCTGTGAAGAAAGCTGTGTGCAGAGGGAGCGAGAACTGCAGCTAGCCGTCGCACTACGTTAAATAAACCAGCTTCCCAAGACCTCTTCTGAATCCTTCTTTTCCTCAGTCTGTATCCAGGTTGTACCCATGCTCTAGCTTTCCTTTGAGCTATCATCGCTGTGTCCTATTTGCCAGCTTGCCAAGATGCCCGTTGTCAGTATAGACTTGGTAGAAGTTTAGTTTTTTTCCATTAGTCCATTAAACCTATTAAGACCAAGTCCTCAGGGTGTAACTTCTTTTTTAAAAATTATGCTACAACTTTGCTCTGTGTTTGGACTTTTTAAGCCCCTTTTCCTGACTCCATGATAAGTAGCGTTGCTAGTCCGCTCCTGAGGTTTATCAGATTAATTTTTGGCCCTGCTGCCAAAAGTGTCGTCTCTGTTTCTTGCCATTTCCCTGGATTTCCTCACATTTCCCATGTATTCTCCCACTTCTTCTGCTCTGGAGTCCTTAATCCTTCTGCTCCTGCCTCTCACAGCTAACTTTGTCCCCAGCATTTCTGCTGCACCCCAGTTCTGCCGACCCCCCCGTTCCTGTAACTGTGCTCTTACCTCTGGGCTCCTGCTAGGGACGTGGTTGCAACATGCTTGGTATATATAAATTGCACGTTCTTTAAGACAGGGGCGGTCTGTTACAATTCATGGTCAGACTGTAATTGATGTCCATCCTGTCCTCTAGCAATTACTGTAATATTCACAGTGGCTAGCGTAGGCCATAACCTGACAGCAGATCATACTCATGCTGACGTGTGGGTACGATAACACGCAGCGTGTACCCGAGCAGGCATACGCATGCAGTTTCTGTTAATAAAGAAATAAAGAAGCCTTCAGAGTGGATTGCAATAGTATTACCCGTCATACATTTTATCCTTCTCAACACTTCTAGTTGACACGGGGATGGATGTATTCTGCTGTGTGGGCTACGTCATGTGTTGGGGTTTTTTTTCATCATGTTTTTCTTTCTTTCTCCCCTTTTTCCTGAAACAGATTCTAAGGATTCCAAGGAAAAGAATAAAATGGAAATCCTGTATATCCTGGTGCCAAGTGTTACTATTCCCCTGGCTATAGCCTTGCTCTTCTTCTTCATCTGTATCTGCCGCAACAATCAGAAGTCATCCTCCCCGCCAGTTCAAAGGCAGCCCAAACACGTACGAGGACAAAACGTAGAGATGTCCATGCTCAACGCCTATAAACCAAAGGTAATCCTGCCGCGCCGTTCTGCTTCGCCGTTTGCGGTCGGTGAAAGCAGGCAGCGGAGCACTTGGATCAGTTCAGCCCTGCAACGTTACCGAGCCGACTTCCAGTGCGCTCTTGGAAAGTGCTTTTCTTGTCAGCAGGGTAGCAAGTGTCCTGCTGGCCCTGCGGAGGTCCTGCGCCATGTGTCTGCGTATCTCGATAAATCAGGGCTGCAGGGTTTTGTAAGAAAGGCAGGAGCAATTGCTTTCCTTATTTGGGGGCTTGGCTTATGTTAGAAAGTAGTGCGGCGAAAGATGTGAGTCTGCATTTTCTCGGACAGCTTTTTCATGGTCTGCTGGAGTCTCATGTCATCTTTCACTCAGCCGAAATTGCCCCGGAAAGATTTGTTCCGTGTTTGTTCAGGCTGACCCATGCTCGCGGTGCCAAGACGTTGCCAAAACAGAGCCTCGAGAATCTCCCCGCAGCTGGGGCCGGCGGGCTGCTGCGGCGGGGGGGGGCGTACGGCCCTGCTCACAGAGGCATTTAGCAGCTCTTGTGGCTGCTATTGTTTTGCTTCGCTGTAATCCCAGCTTCATGAGGCTTTTTTTTTTTTTAAATCGGTTAAGTCTTACGCGTGATTACCCTTGAGCTGCTTGCTTATTAGCAGGCCAGCCGATTTGCAAACGTATACACCAACCCCCTTCGGGCTGCAAATGAGTTCTGCCACCTGCAGGCAGAAAAAGGTCCTGAGAAGACGATTTAATTTTTTGCACCGTGCCAATTCTCTAATAACTTGATGGAAACCGTTCTTTTGAAGCATTTCCGAGTGAAGTCAACATCTACAAGTAACGACAATAGAAGCTGTGTAGACTATGGTATCTGCAAAAGTCAGACATGCCTTTTGAGAAGTTGTTGTTTTTGTTAAATAGCAAAACGAATCCAAATTCTCCTTTCATGAGGTTTCCGCAAGGTGAACTGTAGGCGTTGCTTCTTCAGATAGTGCTGCCTCAGGCGTTCCTCCGGCGAAGCCAGGCAGGGAAGGGTGCGCTTGTACTTCAGGAGCTGTGTGCTCCATCTCTGGACGAGTTCAGGAATAGTTTTCTTTTTTAAGCTCAATAAAGCAGCCATGGGATGCAGCTATTGCTTGCTCTTAAATGTCAAGTTTCAGAATTAGCTTATAAAGAATTAATTGTTGCAGATTAGGGAAAATTACTTAAGTACGTAGTCCGCAGCGCTTGGAATTTGCAGGCACAGGCACAGCACGCTGTTGCAGGGCAAAACTGCAGCTCACTCGAAGCGTAGAAGGCTCTTTAAGTTAGCAGTAAAAGCAAAGCCCCTGGGCGGCTGCGCTGGAAAATACAGGGCTGCCTTTGCCCATTCGTAATACAAAATGCGCCCAGAGACCTTTTTCAGTGGCACAAGGCTACCGCTAGGATTCTTGTTTCGACTCGTTTTACCTGCGCTGGGTGCTAATGCCAGTGCTGCCGTCAGTGATTCCAGCGCAACCGTGGCGCGGTCAGTCTGTCTGTCCGGGGTAGTCGGACAGACTTTGGTCTTTTGTTATATTCTAAATCCTCAGCCTCCCACGCACTGAGCCAGCAAGTGTAGCTTGTTTTTTCCTTTAAAGTTATTAATTTCCTCTTTCATGTGCAGCTTAGGGCAGTTGAAAGCATTATTCATTAATACGTGTTTAATACCCAAACGTAGATAACAGTACAAAACCCATTCAGTTAGATAAGTACCAAAATTAAATCTTGCACCCAACCTCCCTTGAATATTTTGATAAATTCGGATTTGTTTCTTGTCCCCTTTCTACTAAGTATTCGGGGTAAAATCCTGGCTAAACTGAAGATAATGGGAATGTTGGCCTGATTTTAATGCGGTCACGGTTGTCACCTGGAGTACTGACACGCTGATGCCGTATGCACACAGCCCAGGAAAGCCACTTGCCCAGAAACGTTTGCAAATACAGCCCACGCTGTTTCCTTTTTGTGGTTAAAGTCATACACTGCAGAAAGCTTTCCATTTTATTTATGCTAATTCTGTATTTTCCTACTAGGAAAGCCAGCTCGCCCTGTTTCGAATGTTTTGATTGCCTTTCAAACAACATTTTAAAAGAAAGGAAGTAGAATCCTATTTTCAAATACTGCATCCAGGATTAATGTCAACTTTGGGTAAAAACACTCCAAGACTTCTAGCTCAAACTGGGGTGGATGTGTGTTTGCTCGTGCAAATAAAAATATTAGCATTTCATCCAAAAGCCTGTTTCAGTTTTTAAGGGATTTTAATTGCCTCAAAGAATATAATAAACTAAGCTCGTCTTGTCATTCAACTAATGGAAGGAGCCGATACGGAGATACAAGCGGTGGGCTTCACCCTTACTGCTCTCTCTTTGTACTCGGTTTACTTTGGCGTGCTGCCTCATATGTATTTTACACTTCCTTACATTTTGTACACCAGTGTATGACAAATACTTGTCAAACAAAAACTAAGCAGATTTATAGCCGCTTAACTTGAAATGAGCCCTTCCTGCCAAAACTTTATGACTTCATTTTCTTTCATAGTTTTCCACTATGTTGGTTCAAACAGACGAACCCTGCCTGAGGTCGGACAGAGGTCATTTCACTTTCATTACTAAAATATAATTTACAATATGCCAGATCTAAACAAGTTTTAGCCTAAAGGATTTGTATAATATAAACCATCTGTTCCTCAACAATATAGCTAATTTCCTGCCATGACCATACAGTCTACTGCCTGCTTGCTTAAATGTCTTGACGATGATGATGATGATGATTTAAGCAGCATTTAGCTGAAAATTGTAAGTGGTCAATGCAGTTAGAATTCATTTATTCTAAGATGTCACTTTGTAATTTTTTTTAAATGTCAAGACTTTTCCTATATTACTCCTGTAAAGCTGCAGTGATAATATTCTAGGAATGCAAATGTTAAGGTTGACGTTGTTTCGCTAAATGTAGATCCAAAACTCATTAGCCTTTAATTACTACCTGCGGCAACAGTGAGGACCCTAAATGGCTGGCTTGGTGTGTAGGTGTTACAAGCAGGGGGGGAAGTTCGTGTCTGAAAATAATGCAACTGCTTTATGGCCTAAGAGTGAATATATGCACCCAAAATAACAACAGGGTTTGAAAAAAATGAGCCCTCCTCCTTTGGCCAGTGGCTCCTGTTTTTCCCGGTGACTCTGTCCTACATGTCTGAGGACTGACTACTCGGTCAGATGTGAGCAGAAATAATCTCTGTTGTACCCTGAAGAGTTAATGGAAAAGGCAAGTAAGAATTGGCTACAAGGACATAGTTTATTAGAAAAAAAAAAAAAAAGAAAAAAGTTTTCTGTACGAAAACAGGCCCTGGCCCAGAAAACACTTCAGCATATACTTAACTTAAAGTATGTGAATTGCCTCAATTCCTGAAATTAGTCAGATTCAATTCTAAGTATATAAACGCTCAAGTGCTTTCCTTTGCTGAAACCCTGATGGTTCCTGTATATATTTATATCTATTACATATGACTTGTATCTGATCTCGTGCAGAGGATGAAAAGTAATGCTAAACTGAGTTTGCTGAAGGCTGCCCAGGGAGACTAGCAGGGCGTCCTGCGGCGACCCGTGCCCGGGCCGGATACGGGCGCCCGCCCGGCTGCGGCGGGGCCGCTGCCTGGCTTCTCCAGGGCCTTGTTCCCCGACGCGGCAGTGACAGTGCATGGCGGCAGCAGAGGAGGCCAGGTGATTTTCTGCTGGCAGCCACATCACAGGACCGAGGAGATACACACTGTCCAGTGGGCGCTGGTGGGGAGGAAGCTTTTGCCCCTTTCATTTGACACCTGAACATCTTCCTTATGGAGTGCTGTTTAGTGCTGCAATAAGCTGCAGGTTCTCAGACTTCCTGTGCGAAAAGATCTTTTACTTAAAAGTACGTTTTCAGGCCTGTTTTTCTAACCCCTTTTTGTTGTCATTTTTTTTAACAGAGCAAGGCTAAGGAGTTGCCTCTGTCGGCTGTTCGTTTCATGGAAGAACTGGGTGAATGCGCTTTTGGCAAAATCTACAAGGGTCATCTCTACCTTCCCGGCATGGATCACGCTCAGCTTGTTGCGATCAAGACACTAAAAGACTTTAACAACCCCCAGCAGTGGGCCGAGTTCCAGCAAGAAGCGTCTCTTATGGCCGAGCTCCACCACCCTAACATCGTTTGCCTCTTAGGCGTTGTGACCCAGGAACAACCTGTCTGTATGCTTTTTGAGTACATGAACCAAGGAGACCTCCATGAATTTCTTATCATGCGATCGCCGCATTCAGATGTTGGATGTAGCAGCGATGAGGATGGAACTGTAAAATCCAGCTTGGACCACGGGGATTTCCTGCATATTGCAGTGCAGATCGCAGCAGGCATGGAATACTTATCGAGTCATTTTTTTGTCCATAAAGATCTTGCGGCTCGTAACATTTTAATTGGAGAACAACTTCATGTGAAAATTTCAGACCTTGGACTCTCGAGAGAAATCTACTCAGCAGATTATTACAGAGTTCAAAACAAATCTCTTCTGCAAATTCAC